TGTCTGGGTAAACAATCTGAAAGTGGTGGTAACGGCTAATCCAGATGACCCATTTCTGTGTGCTTTGGAATACACATTACATGACAGAAAACCCTGACAGCAGACTTCTTTTTCTGATTTTGGTTTTTCATATCCTAGGGAAGTCTGGCTCCCCTGACCCTATGAAATCAACTAGTGTAGCTTGGGTCATAGCAAGAAGGGAAAGAAGGGAAAAAGAAGGTATGATTATCCATTTATCAATCATTCCTAATGCCTCACAAAAATCAAAAGCTGACTGAATTTAATTTTGGAATACACCTGGAGGGAGAATTTGGTGCTAGACTGACTGCAGATGATTGGATAATATGACCCAAATCAAATCTAGTTCAATCTAGACTAATCTATAAAAGGAAAGAAATAAGGCTGGGCGCGGTGGCTCAAGCCTATAATCCCAGTACTTTGGGAGGCCGAGGCGGGTGGAATCACGAGGTCAAGAGATCGAGACCATCCTGGTCAACATGGTGAAACTTCGTCTCTACTAAAAATACAAAAAAAAAATTAGCTGGGCACGGTGGCACGTGCCTGTAATCCCAGCTTCTCCAGAGGCTGAGGCAGGAGAATTGCCTGAACCCAGGAGGCGGAGGCTGTGGTGAGCCAAGATCGTGCCATTGCACTCCAGCCTGGGTAAGAAGAGCAAAACTCCGTCTCAAAAAAAAAAAAAAAAAGGAAAGAAATGAAAACCAAGTTGTGTGTGGCTTTCTTTCACCTACAACAAAGGTTAAGAAGCTAATCCGCAGAGAAATAATGAATCAAAGCCTGTAATCCAGCACTTTGGGAGGCCAAGGCAGGCAGATCAGTTGAGCCCCAGGAGTTTGAGACCAGCCTTGGCAACACGGTGAAACCCCACCTCTACTAAAAATACAAAAATTAACCAAGTCTTATAACCTCGTCTCAAAATAAATGAATTAATTAAAATTGTAAAGTAAAATAAATTTTTTTTAAAAAATGAATCAAGGCCGGGTGTGGTGGCTCACGCCTGTAATCCCAGCACTTTGGGAGGCCGAGGCAGGCAGATCACAAGGTCAGGAGTTTGAGACCAGCCTGACCAACATGGTGAAACCTTGTCTCTATTAAAAATACAACACAGCTGGACGTGGTGGCAGGCACCTATAATCCCAGTTACTCGGGAGGCCAAGGCAGGAGAATCGCTTGAATCCTGGAGGCAGAGGTTACAGTGAGCCAAGATTGCACCACTGCACTCCCGCCTGGGCAACAGAGTGAGACCCTGTCTCAAAAAAAAAAAAAAAGAATGGAATGGCCGGGCGCCCGAAGTGCTCACGCCTGTAATCCCAGCACTTTGGGAGGCCGAGGCGGGTGGATCACGAGGTCAAGAGATGGAGACCATCCTGGTCAACACGGTGAAACCCCGTCTCTACTAAAAATACAAAAAATTAGCTGGGCATGGTGGCGCCTGCCTGTAATCCCAGCTACTCAGGAGGCTGAGGCAAGAAAATTGCCTGAACCCAGGAGGCGGAGGTTTCGGTGAGCCGAGATTGCACCATTGCACTCCAGCCTGGGTAACAAGAGCGAAACTCCATCTCAAAAAAAATGAATCAAATGTTCAAAGAGCAACTGTGTGGAGATCCCCAACAGATCTCCAGTTCCTGATGCCAGGTCCCTTCTGAGGCATCACAGTGTATTTATGATGCATTACCATTTAAGGCCAGGCGTGATGGCTCACATCTGTAATCCCAGCACTTTGGGAGGCTGAGGTGGGAGGGCTGTTTGAGCTCAAGAGTTCAAGACCAGCCTGGGAAACATAGCAAAACACCTGCAATAAATGAAATCTAACTAACCCCCAATCTGCTCTGCCTCCCATATTCCCTCAATAAATGCCACCACCATTCCCCAGCTGCCTGAGGCAAAATGCAGTGGGGGTCAACCCTGAAACCTCTCCTTAATTTAACATCTAATCAATCCTCCAGTCTTCTCTTTCTCCCTCCTAAATACACCTCGATGCTCCAGTTCTCTCCATCCCGTTTCATCCAGGCCACAAGCCTCTCACATTCTGCTAGTCCTGCTCCCTCCAAGTTCCTCACCACTCTGTGATCAGAGAATTCTTGCCTGTAAGGAGTCTACACTACCCCAGATGAAGTAGAAAGACCCTATGACAGCCAAGGCCCATTCTCATCTGGCCTCAGCCCCATTCTCTCAGATGCTCCACCCACTGTCCTTCACTCACCCCTGAAAGCATTTTCCCTCTCTGTTCTCCAGGCTTTTATACATTGTTTCCTCTGCTATGCTGCTATCCTACTGCCCTCTTTCATCAGCCTTATCTCTGTTTAGACATCTTCCCTCTAGAGGGCTCCCCAACCTGCCAAGACTGGACTAGTGCCCACTAGGTGTCCTCGAACCGCACCAGCTTATTACGGTCCTTCTCTGCCTTGACCTAAAACCTATTTCCTTCTCTGTTTTCTCCAGAAGATCGTAAGTTCCTTTTGGGCTGGGGCTATCATGCTGGCTACTGTATATTCTTAGCTCCAGGTACAAAGAAACAACTCAATACCAATTGAATAATGGTTGAGAGTTCATTACTTCTAATTATTTCTACTTCAGAACCAAACTCTAAAGGAAAATTACTTACTTAAGGAAACCTAATTCATTCTTTCAAATGTGTATTAAGAAGCTACTAAGTGTAAGACACAGAGCTTAGAACCCAAGGGGCTTAGAACTGGAGGGGGCACAGCTCTTTTAAAGACAAACGTTACCCTCACCTGACCACCTTGAACATTCTTAGGCTACGTTTCTCCAGGAATTCTGTGTTCAGAGAACAAAAAGACCAACTGGAACAGAACAAAAATGGGAAACTCAACCAGCAAGGGCTAGGGTTTTAATCAGCCACATCACCGTTCACCTCAGAAATGTACTGAATGCTTACAGAGGGAGCGTGTTAGGAGTCTTCAGAATTTTCTGCCACCTTAGCCAACCTAAATCCTAAATGGTAGATTCTACAATTTCTCCCAACTTTCTATAATGCTAACTTCACAGAGCTAGAAATGAACCTTTCCACTGTCCACGTAGATTGATTTTGTTCTTTGGTTTTTGTTTTCTGAGATGGAGTCTCACTCCAGCCCAGACTGGAGTGCGGTGGTGCGATCTTGGCTCACTGCAACCTCCACTTCCCGGGTTCAAGCGATTCTCCTGCCTCAGCCTCCTGAGTAACTGGGATTACAGTCACGTGCCACCACACCCAGCTAATTTTTGTATTTTTAGTAGAGACCGGGTTTCATCATGTTGGCCAGGATGGTCTCCAACTCCTGACCTTGTGATCCACCCCACTCGGCTTCCCAAAGTGCTGGGATTACAGGCATGAGCCACCGCACCAACCGTTTTTATTTCTCTCATTCAGGAGTCTTTCTTTGCTCCAGGTTAAATCAAGGCCAAGGTAAGTTTCCGTGGAGCAATAAAAGGCTTTTCATTGGGGCGGGGGAGGTGGGTATCCATGACTTAGGATGACAGACTCTCAGGCATGAAAGAAGAAGGAAATAAGGCCAGGCGCGGTGGCTCACACCTGTAATCCTAGCATTTTGGGAGGCCGAGGTGGGTGGATCACCTGAGGTCAGCCTGGCCATCAGGGTGAAACCCCATCTTTAAAAAAAAAAAAGAAGAGGGAAATAAAATGGAAGAAAGTTGAGAACAAGATAAGAAGGGAAACTCTGGAAGCTCCTTCCATGAAGAATCCATATTTGAGTTCTTTCACTCACAAAATATTCATGGGAGTATTCAGTATGTGCCAGGCACTGTTTTAAGTACTAGGGTATAGCAGTGAATTTTTTTTTTTAATCCCTGCCTTCATGGAGTTTATGTACTAGTGGGAGATGGGAGGACAGATGATGGTAAATGCAATGGAGAAAAACAGAACAAAGAGCAATGGGGAGGAGGACGAGACAGGAGGTTGCAACTTAAACATACAGCAAAGTAGGGAAGTCCCCACAGAGAACAGGCCTTTGAGGCCAAGCCTCAGTGACATGAGGGAGAGAACATTAGGATATCTGAGGGAAGAAATTTAAGGAACAGCAGGTACAAAGAATGAAAATGGCAGAGCTGGGAGTCTGAAGAAAAGCAAGGGCAATAAATTTCTCTCTGGCAAATAATTCTAAGCAGTTCCCGCTCCCAGGCTTAATCTCTCCTTATCTCCAAAGCCCTCACTCCAGAAGAGGCCTTGTGGTATTTTTCCACTGTCACATATAGAAACAGGTAAGTCTCTCTGCCTCTTCCAGAAACAGTACCCAAGCATCCTAATTCACCTAGGTTTGACAACAGCTAAATGGTGAAATGAGGCACAGATCTGAGATCCAGAGAGACTGAACCTGAATCTTCACTCTGCCCTTTACCAGGTAAAATCGTGCAGACTGGACACCTGTTTCTCATCTGTCAAAGAAAATAGTATGTTACCTCCCAGAGCTCTGTAATAATTGAAAGAAAGGACCAGTGAACGGCAAATCATCTGCACTCAACAAATACTCGATTTCTCCTCTAACTCCCTCAAAAATGGAATCCAAGATTGCTATCATTTTCCTCCAGGCCTCATGCATTTGAGTTCAGAGGCAAAGGAAAAGATTGGTCCCAGATGTTCGGCAGAGGTTCAGGAGCCCTGTCTCCTATCCGTCTTCAGGTGCCAGATTTCTTCCTGTTCTCAGTAGGAGGAAAGGGAAAAAAGCCGGACTGAGTGAAGATGCAAAGAGGGGAAGCGAATCCAAGTGTCCCTAGGTCTGTCAGTACCAGATGATGGCATGTGGCTTCTGCAGGCAAAGCCCAGCTTCGGGAAACCCACAAGAGCAAACGCCCAAACTCCCCGAAGTTGACAAACTTCAGCTCAATTAATCGCACTGTAAGAGGATTCCAGTGGCCTTGAATCCACGGGTGCGTTTGTAGGAAGGAGTTCCCAGATCTGCACATGTCCCTCCTACAGCCGACTCAAACCCAGTGGACAGTTTGGGGCTGCCTTCCCGGATACTCACATCTCCCTTATGCAACTCCGGCGCCGCGATCTTCACGGGCTCTTTCCTCTTCTTTGGCTTGGGAAGCCCCATCGGGGGGCCGGTACCGCCAATTGGAGGGGGCAGATTGAGGCCAGGGCCTCGGGGCGAGGGCAACCCCAATCCCAGTCCCTCCCCAACTCCCGCCGCTTCAGCCGGGCTCACGCCTGGAGGTGGGGGGAAGCCTCCCAGGCCGAAGGGCAAGGAGGGAGGAGGCTGAAGCCTGGGGTCTCCGGTTGGTGGGGGAAGCAACAGCGACGGGGGAAAGGCTGGGGCCAGCATCTGAGGGGGCGGAGGCAGCAAGGCCGGGCCCTTGGGCGCAGGGAGAGAAGCGAACAAGCCCCCTAAAACAGGCCCAGAGGTAGGGGCCACCACCTCCTCTTCCTCCGGCTCGGGCTCAGCCTCATCTGGCTCGCTCTCATCGCTGCTGGCGTAAGCAACCAGCGACATGGCGCCTCCCGCGTTTGGGGCGCCCTTGCCGGCAGACGAGGCCTACTTGAGACCGGGGATGCCCGGAGGCCTAGAAGGCCCCGCCGCCCGGCGGGGCGGGGAACAAAAAAGTCCGCCTGCTCCGTACTCTAGGGCTGGCCCCTGCGGAAGCTCATGGCCACAGCTGATTTCCACCGAACAAGGCGTCCCTCTTCACTTAAGCTCCCAGTCCCGGGCAACTACACACAGCTAATGGCCGCCGAGTCACTCCGCCTCCTCCTGCCTCACCAATAGGAGAACTACAACTCCCAGAGAACACTTTGAACACAGCCCGATTCTTTGCCGCAGGAATCTCAGCGCAAGGCACAACGGGAGTTGGAGTCCGAGGAGGGATTTAGAGGCGAGTTGGGAGAGACAGGAGAGAAACCCGCCTCTGACGCAGGGACACCTGGGGTGAGTAGTTTTTTTGGTCGCCTAACAATTCCGAGATGACTACAAGCCCCACCGGTCACTACGGTAGTCACCGAGACGGATTGGAAAGCATTTCGGTACTTGAAGTTCCCAAGGGTAGACCCTTGGGCACTAAGATTTCTGGGAGATGTGGTGCTCTTAGAAACTGCGAGTGATGCCGGGAATGGAAGGGAGTATGGGAAGTTGGCGGATTGGGGAAAATTGCTTAAAGGGAAAGTGATCTGCAAATGAACTGGTGAAGCTTCCTGGTCGGTTGGGGCTGACAATAAGAATAAAACATCCCAAAAAGAGCAAGGGCACAAGGTACCCGTACGAAATTGGGCTGCAAGCCAGAAAGAAGCGAAGCTGCAGGCCTAATGATAAGCTCTGAGCCGGGCGCGGTGGCTCACACCTGTAATCCCAGCACTTTGGGAAGCAGAGGCGGGCGGATCACGAGGTCAGGAGATCGAGACCATCCTGGCTAACGCGATGAAACCTCGTCTCTACTAAAAATACAAAAAATTAGCCTGGCGTGGTGGCACGCGCCTGTAGTCCCAGCTACTCGGGAGGCTGAGGCAGGAGAATTGCTTAAACCCGGAAGGCGGAGGTTGAGGTGAGCCGAGATCACACCATTGTACTCCAGCCTGGGCAACAAAAGCGAACCGAAACGCTGTCTCAATAATAATAATAATAATAATAAGCATCCGAGAGTTGAAATAAATGTGACAAAAGAGGGAGGAGGTGATCTCCCTCGCCAGGATCCGGGTGCACATCCAGGAGCACATCTTACCCTGGAGCCCGGGACCTGGCCTCCCTCTGCAGCAACCAGTAAGACAGAAAGATGGACAAGGCCCTGGCAGCCCCTGCCAGGTACCTGAGATTAATCCTTTATGCTCAGCGGGGTAAAGAGCTACAGTTCTGAGGATTCACTTGAGTCTGTCCTCCCTGGCTGTGCCTTCCACCTATCCATTTGCGTGAATGTCCTTTGCACTCCTTTACTTCTGTGAGTGCTGCCTCTTACAGCTTTGTGTGTGCCCTTGTTACATCTGTCTCTTAAATGGCCTTCGTTTCCATCTATGTTTATCGGTGTCCTTTCCCAGCCCATTTATGTCTGCTTGTGATGATGTGCTGTGCGTTTGTTCTTCCCTGTCTGCCTATAATTTTGTATCTTTTTCTTGTTTATCCATCTCTGCCCCTTCCAGTCTGCCTGTGACTGAGTGCCCTCTACTTGTCTGCCCTGTGTGTGTCCTTTACATGCTAATCCATTTCTATGTGGGCACCACCTCCCTGTTCCCAGATTGCAGAAAATTCTGTTGAGCGCAGCCAGAGAAAAGGCTGTTGAGGTTTTGGGCGGAGACTGAAGAGAAAGTTGAAAGGATGATGACGAGGGACAGTGATGATGACAGCAATGACAAGAGACAGTAAAAGGCCCAAGCTTGAATCCTCTATCAGACGAGCCTGATATGGGGCCCCTCCACCCCAACCTCTCCAACCTTCAGAGGCAAACTCATCCTGCCTTCTCCATGGAGTTTCCTTAGAGCCATCTCCTCCCTGCTCTGAATGCCAGAGCATTTTTTTTGTGTGTGCGCCTGTGTTCAAACTTTAATGCTAGGAAAGCTTCTAAAATGGCCCGACGCAGTGGCTCATGCCTGTAATGCCAGCACTTTGGGAGGCCGAGGTAGGCAGATCACCAGAGGTTGGGAGTTCAAGACCAGCCTGACCAGTGTGGAGAAACCCCATCTCTACTAAAAATACAAAATTAGCTGAGCATGGTGGCACATGCCTGTAGTCCCAGCTACTCGGGAGGCTGAGGCAGGAGAATCACTTGAATCCGGGAGGCGGAGGTTGCGGTGAGCCGAGATTGTACCATTGCACTCCAGCCTTGGCAACAAGAGCAAAACTCCATCTCAAAAAAAAAAAAAAAGAAAGAAAGAAAAGAAAAAGTCCTCTCTTCCTTTCTCTGCCATCGTGGTGTGTGCTTTATTCCATTTCTCGCCATGTCTTCTCACAAGACTTTCGGGATTAAGTGATTCCTGGCCAAGAAACCATAGCCAAATCGTCCCCAGGGGATTCGGATGAAAACTGGTAATAAAATCAGGTACAACTCCAAAAGGAGACACTGGAGAAGAACCAAGCTGGGTCTATAAGAAATTACACATGCGATGGCACACATATTTATGCTGTCTGAAAGTCACAATCGTGTTACCAAATCAAGCTGAAAAATGTCACTGCTGTCTGGAGAAGTTTGAAGTTTCCTCTCTGGATCTGTTATGAAGGCATTAGCGAGTTAGTACAACCCACAGTGCTTCCATTATTCATGTTTAAAAAAAAAAAAAAAAGAAGGCTTTGGTTGCCTGGGTTCAGTAATAAATATGTGAGACCTTTCACTTCTTAAAAAAAAAAAAAGAAAGCTTCTGAAAAATATAAATTCCTGAAATCTAGCTTTAGAGATTCCTATTCAACAGATGTGGGTGGGGCCTTGAAGCCTGGATCTGTAGGAAACTCCTCAGTTGGTTGCAAAGCAGGCATTGAGGACCACATTGAGAAACTAGACCACTGGGTACTGCCTCACGGCTAGTATCCCTTGCACAATGCCGAGTTCTAAAACCTGCTTTCAAATCGAGATTCCCCAACAGGACTCTGGGCGGTCACTTCTCTTCTCTGAGTCTCACTTTCCTCCTTTGCAAAATGGATAAACTGTTAGGGAGCCCTGTCCTACTTCTGTGAGGAATGCCTGGTGTTAACACACAGTGAAATGATTTAAAACTAAGAGAAGGCTGGGCGCTGTGGCTCACGCCTGTAATCCAAGCACTTTGGAGGCCAAGGCAGGCAGATCACCTGAGATCGGGAGTTCAAGACCAGCCTGACCAACATGGTGAAGCCCCGTCTTTTAAAAAAAAAAAAAAAAACAAGAGAAATGACTGTCCTTTTTATTTGTCAACGCATCTTGCCACCTTGCAGAGAAGCCTCTGTCTTTGTTTAACAAATGTTTTCTTTTTTTTTTTCTTGTGGAAACAGAGTCTTGTTCTGTCACCTAGGCTGGAGTTCAATAGCACGATCTCAGCTCACCATGACCTCCGCCTCCCAGCTTCAAGCGATCCTCATGCCTCAGCCTCCCAAGTAGCTGGGATTACAGGCATACATCACCATGCCCAGATAATTTTTGTATTTTTTAGTAGAGACGGGGTTTCAGCACGTTGGCCAGGCTGTGTTTAACAAATGTTTTCTAATCAGGGGTCCCCTTACTTTGAAAATTCATGATTGGCGGGGCAAAGTGGCTCACATCTGTAATCCCAGCACTTTGGGAAGCCAAGGTGGGCGGATCAGGAGGTCAGGAGATAGAGACCAGCCTGGCCATGGTGAAACCCTGTCTCTACTTAAAAAAAAAAAAAAAGCCAGGTGTGGTGGCTCATTCCTGTAATCTCAGCATTTTGGAAGGCTGAGCCTGGCCAACATGGTTAAACCCCTTCTCTACTAAAAATGCAAAAATTAGCCAAGTGTGGTGGCACATGACTGTAATCCCAGCTATTTGAAAGGCTGAGGCAGGAGAATTGCTTGAGCCAGGGAGATGGAGGTTACAGTGAGACGAGATCATACCAATGCACTCCAGCCTGGCTGACAGAGCAAGACTCTTTCTCAAAAAAAACAAACAAAAACAACATTGTCCGGGCACAGTGGCTCATGCCTGTAATCCCAGCACTTTGGGAGGCCGAGGCAGGCAGATCATGAGGTCAGGAGATCAAGACCATCCTGGCCAACATGGTGAAACCCCATCTCTACTAAAAATTAAAATTAAAAAAAACAATAGCTGGGCATGGTGGCACACACCTATAGTCCCAGCCACTCAGGAGGCTGAGGCAAGAGAATTGCTTGAACCCAGGAGGCGGAGATTGCAGTGAGCCAAGATCGCACCACTGCACTCCAGCCTGGGCAACAGAGCTAGACTTCATCTCAGAAAACAAACAAAAATTAATGATTCACCTTATTGGGTATAAATCCTCAAAAAGTTGTTTTCAAGCAAAAAATTGATAATAGAAACTTCATGATAGTAAAGGAAAGGAGATTTATTTCTCATTATGTACCCTTTTATACCTTTAGAAATTTGTAACTGGGCAAGGCTAGGTGCCGAGGCTCACGCCTATAATCCCAGTAATTTGGGAGGCTGAGGCAGGCAGATCACCTGAAGTCAGGAGTTGGAGACCAGCCTGCCCAACATGGCGAAACCACATATCTACTAAAAATACAAAAAATTAGCCTGGCATGGTGGCGGGTGCCTGTAATCCCAGCTACTCAGGAGGCTGAGGCAGGAGAATCACTTGAACCTGGGAGGCAGAGATTGCAGTGAGCCGAGATTGCACGACTGCACTCCAGCCTGGGTGACAAGAGCAAAACTTTGTCTCAAAAAAAAATTTTTTTAAACTGGGCACGGTGGCTCACGCCTGTAATCCCGGAGCTTTAGGAGGCCAAGGTGGGAGAATCCCTTGAGTCTAAGAGTTGGAGACCATGAATGGTGAAACCTTGTCTCTACAAAAATATACCAAAAAAAAAAAGCTGGGCCTGGTGGTGCACGCCTGTAATCCCACCTAGCTAGGGAGGCTGAGGCAGGAGGATCACTTGAGCCTGGGAGGTGGAGGCTGCAGTGAGCCAAGATTGCACCACTGCACTCCAGCCTGGGTGACAGAGCATAACCCTGTCTCCACAAAAATTTTAAAAAATAGAAATTTGTAACTGGTATATCTATGTCCTTTTCGAAAGTAATCATAAAAGTTCTCTAGTGAAAGGGAATGAAATAAATAAACATATTTAATTTGTGTCCCTCCTAAAACCCTACTGAAACATCAGTAAAGAGATTATTTTGAAAAAGCATTAAGGATCATTTTGAAAAAAAAAACCCACAAAGATGGAGAGTTCAGAAGAGAAAACAACACAGTCACATTTTGGAAGGTGGGAAAGAGAGGCCCCAGAGGTACATTACTGGGCACATCCCAGAGAGCTGAGAACCAAGGTGGCCTTGGGGAATGTTGAGAATCAGTGTTTTGAGTCTGATACCAGGGATTCCCCCTCCAAACTCCCAACCAGATCACCCTGATGTCAAGTTTTTACTATGACAAGCCCCAACCAGGTAAAAAGTGGCTTTTCTAGCCCACTGCTCTTATACATGAGCAGGAACCAAAG